ATGACAGCTGGCCAAATGGAATTCGCCAGAGTCTTCTGGCAAAATCGACTGTCGAATTTCTTTATCACACACACTTTCCCTTGAAATTGAGGTGAACTCAACAATTTTAAACCAAAAAGCTTCTTTGAGTCCCCTATTTTTCCTTATATTTACTTGTTAATCATCAAGTCAGCATCAACACCTTGTAATTCACTTTCATAGACTAAATTTCTATCACGCAATATTCAGTTTTGTTTAAAATATGGTTAATTTATTTTGAAATACAAAATAAAGATCATATACTTAGAATGAATGGGCTTTCTAAAATATAAAATAATTATTGAATGAGAACTGTAGTTGGCCTAATCCTTTTTTAAGGAGAAAGAACTGATAATGATGTGGGGATGCACCGAGAAACCTACTCATTACAACGACGAGAAATGTTGTAGACTGTACCGGCAGATATAAGTTTGCTTCACCTGCCGTTCCACAACGAATATGTGATACGCGAAAGGCCGGACTGGTCATAAAATTTAACTCCACTTTGGGACATCTGTGGAAGTGTAAAGTGGCGGTGACGAGTCAGGTTCGATTCCCGTTGTGTAAGCGAGTCCGGTCCACTCAGAAGTGGAATATGTTTGAGCAAGCAGAATTATGTGAAATTAACTTGCATCCTATGAACTCCCCGTAGCGTTGCAGGAAAATTCACTATCAGTCCTTAATTACTACAACCAAACCAGAGTTACTATAATTATTATTCGATAAATATATATATTCGATATATATATATATATATATATATGAAGTATAAATATTTATTTTAACAAAGTATCTTCTGAAAAAACATTGGTATGGTGACTTTCATTTTGTGAAAAAGCGCCTGAGAAAGAGATTCCAATGGGTTGGTTCTACCGGGAGGCTATGACTGATTTCCATAGTCTTGCCACCGCATGATTTGACTACGACGTTAAGGTTGACCGAGTCTGTTCGTGAAAAAATGGGCTGAACATTAGTCCCTTCCTAAAATGGGAACTAATTCATACAAAAGCCTCAAGTTAACGGCGAATCAAGACTACTATTCTGATCTCCCATATATGCTGTAGATCGTGACAATAATGAGGATACAATAGGTACAGATAGATGGATATAGAGATAAATATATAGTGATCTAGTTAGTGCATTTTCTCGGCAATCTAAGGACTTCCGTTCCAGTTGCCTCGTAGCCTGATCCTGACAACCAGGCGTAGGTTTGGGTTAACGCAGTTCCAGTCAAGTATACACACATACAAAATCATATAAGCATTTAGATTATCATGAAATGAGCAAAGTAAAGTTTTATTTATTTATTTATACATCTACATGTTTTTATTCGTAGTTATGACTATCTGTAGCATGTAGGGCCGACAAGTCTTATTCAAAGCTTCTTTATGAACAACTGTCGCCATTGGGAATGCATATGAAAAAGGAGTAGTGGTTTAGTGTGATTTGACTTTCTCTTGCGAAGGAAAAGTTGGTTGGAGGATATCCGTGAGTCGATCTCAACAGATACCAAAATAGGATTGACTTGGAGGAATAGAGCCCATTGGATTTTGCAAAGCAGTTTTTGCTTCACTTTTCTACAACCCCAATGAATCTGTGCTAATCCTTCATTATTACCATCTTGACAGACATTGTCAGAGCAAGAAATAGACTTTACGAGAAAATCCACCAAATGCTTCATCTTCAACGAAATAGGGTGAATACATCTCCTATATCAGAGCTACCGGTAGTCTTGAAGACCTATTTATAAAGGAAAAAAGCACTATGATCAATTGCTATAGCAAATACAACATTGCTTCATCGACGCTCCCACCACAGAATGTGATATGAGAAAATGCCTAACCTCACTTGAAATCCACATCTACCTTGACAGCCAAGGGTACAAGTCCGGATGTGAATATCTTTTGGGAAACAAGGCTATTCAAATTTATGTGGCAAAGTAAGGCCTACTTGCATGATTGCGGAATAATTAAATTACCATTTCCTCATCATCGGATTCGTCTTTTTATCCCTTCTCCTATTCCTTCTCGTCCTCCTCATCATCAACTTTGTCATAATTAACTTCGGCATAATCATCATAATCTCTCTTCTCTTCCCACTTTTTCCTTCTTCTGTTTCTCTATCTTATTAACTTAACCTTTCTTTTTTTTCTCCTCTTCTTCATACCCTTCCTCATCCTCATAATAATAATCATCATCGTCATCATCCTTATTAAAATCTTCCTCCTCCACTTCCTTTAACTAATTTTCTCCTTCCTCCTTTTATCTATTCTCCTACTCTACATACTTTTCTTTCTCCTATTTACATCCTCCTCCTCCTCCTCCACCACCTCATGATCGTTTCTTTCATTGACATTAGCATCAACATCAGCATCATCTTCAGCATCGTCTGCTTTCTGCTCTCGTTGCTGGCGCCGAGATCGATAGAGCACCTTTAGCGCTGATTGGGCAAACCTCGGGTGCACCTTACCTTGGCTCAACCGGTCCCAGCTCAACTCGACTCGACTTGGCGCCGATTGTCTCTTGACACGATCCGGTCTGAGGTGATCCGCTTGACGTAGGACCGTACCGAGAAGCCTCGCACTCCCGACTCGTCTCTGCAAAGAAACGGAGTCTTTAGGCGCCACCAGTCCACCCACCTACCCGCTTGTTTCACCGACCGACTGACCGACAGGCCAACCGTCCAACTTCTCAACCGACCGTGATGAAACCAAGGCGACTGATATGAAGCAATGGTTGTCATGACGCCGGATGTTTACTTGAGTTTGTCTGACATGCGAATGGTAGACGCGAC